CACGTCTCTACAGGCCGCCCGTTGCCTAGAGAGCGGGCCAACGAGCACGGCTTCCCCGCTGCGGCCTTTCGGAAAGCCGCTGCGAGGCCGTGACGGTACCGCTGCCTCTCAGAAAACCTTTTCTTTTCCCGGTGGAAAACGGCAAAGTTTGCAGCGAGGACCAGACCCTGGGGCAGAGAGAGGTGGTGACAACACCGCTGCGCCACAACCCCGCCGTGTGCCCTCGGGGGCACGGCCTGAGGCAGCTTCTGCTTCGCTACAGGGAGCTTCACCGGGTGCCCCGCGAGGTGGGAAGAGGGCAAGGGGGGACGACCCGAACGCCGCCGGACGCCACGTCAGCCTCGCCGCCGCGCGCAAAGAGAGGGGCTGTCTTTTGCGCTGTGCCTTTGCTGTCTTCCGGGTGGAATAACCCGAAATGTCTCCCCCGCTTTACCTACCTCTTTCTCCTTTGCAGCGCCTTCGAGAAAGAGGGCAGACCAGAATATTCCCCAAAGCTCCCCGAAACTCTTCTCTACAGAATGACACGGCAGCACTCTCTGAGATTAAATATGGATCGAGGAAGGATCCGAAACCGGGCGTTCATGTTTTTCTGTCAGGATGCTAAATCTTGCCAAATGGAAATCAATGTCCGTATTTAGTATGAAAATGAAAATCTTCCCCTCTTGCTTTACCTTTATTCCTCACGATACAAAAAGGTTGTACTGAGCAATAATTCTTAAGATACAACTTCAAATCCTTCCAGTGAAGCTTTCAAGTGTTTTACATCATTGGAGTGAGGGGCGGAATTAGCTAATTAATCCTCTAATCACCACAGCGACTGAACTAATACCTAGTAATACATTCAAAAGGTAATAAAGCAAATAAAGAAGTTAGGGGTTCATGCCTGGATGGAGAATTGATAACCGTAACGAGGATTACAATTTGGGATCCCTGGCTTCCGATTCCATGTTCAGGCCACTTTCCTGCTTATGGAAGCCAATGTATTCTCTTTATTAGTTATGATTAACTAATATTTGGGAGGTTGTTGGCATTTCTAAAAACAAGAATTGAGACATGTCAGAAGATGAAAAATTGAAACATTTTTCCTCTAGTCAAGATAACTTTCTTTTAGATTAGAACTATTTTGTCTACATCACACCAAAACGAGAGAAAATGCCCTTCTCCAACCCGAACTGCACTTTAAAATGTGCAGAGTCGTAAATATAATAGTCAAGGTAGATGATTTCCCCTTATAGCTTAGCTATGTGTTTCCAAATATGAAAGAGTTTGCATCTGGAAGCACATACCTGAAGAGGAGGAAGAAGGATCTGTTGATGGATCTGTTGCTGGATCTGTTGATACCTTGTGACTACCTCACAGTTAGGGCATCAAACCACTTAGCTTTGTGATCAGTATTCAGATATTTGAATACCTGTAGCGTATAAATTACAAATTTGGTAAGCAAATTGCAACTGGGATTATGTTGTTCAGTCATATCAGCTGTCCAGAAAGATCTCAGGCAGTGAATGTAACCAGGAAACATAAACTGCTAACATTGGAAGCAAATGTAAACTGAAAGTCCTTACAGCCCTGCCAACATGACATGAGATAAACACTCTCAAAGTATACAAAGCATTTCTTATATCCTCCCAATGCAAATACCTAAAACCCAGTAGAATCCGAGGTTATTCTAAACCATGACTACGCAGTGCTTAATTCTAATTCTCTGTCCCGGTTTGAGTAGGAGCTTATTCCACTGGTAGTCGTAGCTGACTTTATTCCACAGGTGGATAACTCCAGGGTTACTCAGAAATGGAGGTGGTGGGCAAGGGTTACAGAGTAAGACCCAAGGTTAAAAACAGGCAACTGACCAGTTAAGAGCCTCACTGTACCAGGAGAAATTTCAACAGCGTGCACTGTGGATATCCACAACAGCAGGAGAACATGGTAGACCCTGGGATTGCCGGGTTTCTGGGTCTTCTGTGGGGTACTGAATGAATGGTGACTTGACGCAGCCTCTGTGGGGATAGAGGGGGAAGTGACAGAGAGCAGCTCCCACATGTCACATAACCGGCCTGTCAGTTCAGCTTGGCGGGCCCCAGGGCCCACTGCAAACACCCGGCTGAGCCATACAAGCCATCCGGTGCCTAGCAAGTCGTCTAGGCTGGGGTGCCTCTGAGAGACCAGTGGGGAGCCGAGCTTTTGCCTCCCTGGAGCAGCTGTGGGGCAGACTATGAAGGCACCACATGCAGCGAGGCTGGGGGAAACGGGAAGCCGAGGCTGCTGCCTTGGCCCTTCTCACCTCGGGCAGTGTCAGCAAGCCAGCGGCACCACGAGCAGCAACAGGCAAGGAAAGAAAGCCCTTGGGAGGCTGTGTTGGCTCTTGCTGTCAACAGAATCAGGATATTCTTAGATTATACAAGTAAATATGGAAAGGCTTTGTTTTCGGCTGCTGAACATGAAGGGGCTGTGTTATCCTGAGGACAACACAGTGAAGGGAGATACAAATCAGTTTTCTTGCCCTTCCTCTCCTCTCTGTTCTTTTCTCCCACTTTTTACACAGGGTAAAGTCCTCTCTCCAATATGCTGTGTCTCCTATATGCTGGTATCTGCACAGATATGGTCTTCCCAAGAATATAACCTGCTGGTTCCTGGCTTTGCAGAGACTCTGAAATAGCATGATGGAGGAAGAGGCTCCTAGAGGAAAAACACTTCAGAGAGAGCTCTTCTGGCTTACCACTGTTGGGGTCATTCATTGGGGATGGAAGAAGATGTGAGATCAAGTCCATGGCCTGTCCCGAGCACCATCTCCTATGTGTTATTTGAGCGCTGCAATCACATTATGGGATATCTTAAGCTGTGCGTGAGAAGCATTTATCTCTTGTTTTGACAAGAAAATCTATCCTGGGCACTGCTGCAGGAACTGAAGTTGAATGTGGAATTTGGCAAGTCTTCCCAGAAAGAGCATGTGGGAGCCCAGTTAGGGTGCAAACTGGAGCATGAGATGCCAATGGCCGCAGGGTAAGTATAAGCAATTTGAGCACACCAGGCAACCTAGTGGGTTTCCCACCGACTACCACATTTCCGAAACTTCACAATGGAAAGCTTCTGTGCTGCAAGGAAATTGTGTCTGACAAGCTGCCCCATTGCAGGTGGAAGAATGGCAGAAACCAAAATTAGCATAACGAGGGACCGCATGCACAGCTGCCAACAGTCATGCCTACACAAGCATGAAGAGGGAGCCAGTAAAAGGCTGGGAAACGCCTCTTCCTG